CCCCCCCCCCAAATTATCGGTGAACGAAACTGCGGCAGCTACAACCACTGTACGATGAGTACGCGGTTCTCACAGCTGACAATGATGATGATGATGATGATATATGCCTGACCCATTAATCTTGCATTTCATGCTTCCACGACCAATGAAATGGAATGTCTACGTCTCGCGACCCACTTCTTGTTTTTCAGGTGAAATGCGATAAGTGGATGGCTTACCACCAGTAGCTATTCGACGCATTGGCGTGCCGAAGGATAAGGTCAAAGAATCTCTTATACAGTGGCCCGTGAGCGTATAAAACATACCAGGCAAGATTTCTTACCTGGTGGATTCCCGACAGATGGTCCATATGGCGTCCGGCTCCACAAAACCGTATAACTGGTGCTTGAAGAGTGTTGTGTTCTTTTCTTGTTTAGATTCATCAAAATGGGTTAGGATAACCTCCAAAGTCTGTTGCTGACCTTCGGTTACTTGCTTCGGCGTGATTGTAACTTCAACTGCCTCAGAGGGCTTGAAAGGTCCTGAAACTGGTGGAAGCTGGCTTTCATTCAGTGCGAATTCTAAATGTACCATGCCAGATTCATCCTCATTGGAAGGGTCAGACTGGGACCAGTGGATCGGCAAGGGGACTGTAACCTCACTTGCAGGTGCAATATCAGAACTGGTAGACATGAGAGAGACGCGGCTGGAACCAATATTCATTGCCGTATCCGAAGGCTCTGAAGAGAAAAATGGAAAAATAGCGTAGCGTTTGGAATAATTGACTGAATGGCATCTAAGGTCCAAAATCCCACAATTAAATATGAAGGGTATGTGTCAAATCCACGGGTATTGACTCTGTTGCTCTAAGAACAACCAACTTCGCAGCCATTGGCAGCAACAGTAAACAAACCGTGCTTGGTAAATTCGCAAATCAGTCGGGAAATATGTCACTTGGTTAGGTTACTGGTGATGAGACAAGTTACTCAGTCCAACATATAACCGCTACTGAATGAGAACTTAAAAAGACTATTGCTAGCTCTGACGGATCTAGACGACTAACTGTTTTAGAAGCAAATGAGAACCAGCTACTCGCGAATAAGGCGTCGAAGGAGTGTATGGAACATAAAAGTAATAAGTGCAAGTCAAAGGGTCACGTGATTGATCATCGAAAGGTCATTTAAAGAGACTCAGTTAGGGAGATTGTGTAGTGAAACGACCAGACATACCTCACCAACGGGTAGAAAACACTGGGCCAATCGGATAGAACTGTGTTTTCGGGTTACTATCAGTTTCGCTGAACATTTGAGCCAACTTAAATGCACCATATACAATTCGAGACACACGACAGTTACCAACTACTTCTAGGCGTCTACAAATTCTACAGGCTACGGTGTAGAGTGCTCTGCAAGCAAGTTCACGGCGATGACAAAAGAGACGGTTGTTGTGATCAACGTCATATGACATAGAGAGCAACAATAACCCGTAGGGCTTGCGTACAAAATGGTAGACGATTCGTCCCGTACACCTCACTTACCGGTAGAATAAAACAATGCTTGAGGAGAAATGTGATGGATAATATACAGAAAAACGTACTGGAAGCCTTTTTGGCTACTTCGGGATTGAGCGAATCGTATACAGGCAGGAACGTCCGTTCGGCACAAAGGTGCAGCGACTGGGCATCACGCGCCAACGACGCATAATCTGGAAAGCTGGTGCCAACCAGTCGACGATGTTGACTGAGAATCCACTCGGTTGCATTGGCTACAAAACACGGTTGATGATAAGGAATAGAAAAGAGTGCGGAGAAATGTTCAAGATAGGATTCGCTCTTCAGCAGCTGTTCAAAACACACCAGTTTGTAAGGCCTGTCCTATCGAGTAGCATCCGATCTACAAAGTCGGATACCAGCAGATGGTAAATTGCCACACCGATGGATAAAGCACTGTATATGAAAAGCCTCAGCAATGATCTGCTCTTCCAACGGGAACACACGGATTCTGGATCCTATAATATACGATATATAGACACGTCGCTGTCTACATTTTTGTGATGGAACTGCCCGCCAAACTTCCGGTTTGTTCTTTGATCAACAACTATTCACTAAAGCTACTGGCCAAACACTGGTTTTGGAAGCCCTTAGCCAGAAAACGGTTTGCACAAATATGTCATATGTTGGTGAAAACACGTAGTGCCCTGGAAAAAAAACAGTGAAGAGAGAAAATGAAGCCGATCCAAATACACTTGCCACGTGACGATAAGATGACAATTATACAACTCTACGTATAAAGTAAGTCGAGGAAACCGACTGAAAGTCGTGTCATCTCTCTCGCCACCTCATGGCTACGACTGGCTAGTATTATAGAACAATCCACGAATAAACTTTGCCGGTTTACCGCCTGGTGGTCCAATCGACGCAAAGTACTCTTACACAGAATGGTCTGCTTCTGGATAGCCTATTTCCCCATAATTTAGGTGCTTTTCGTGACACTGTTTCCCGAAACAATTCGGTATTCGGTTGGTGTGGCGGGAGGCTAGAGCAATCCATCCATAGAATGTCAATCAAACGATCGTTTCAGGGGTATATTACGCGTGGACGAATGAATGCTTTGTATCAATAGTCTCTCTCTTATTTCGGTTGAATTGTATGCCAGTTTATTTCAAAATACGTCCCAACTCTTTGCTTTGATATCTGCTCGAATCTTCGGAGTATGTTCTAGGCCATCAACGAAGAGCGACAGAGAACCACACAAAGCGCAGCCACCAGGAGAAGACAACGGCTATTGTTATTTAGTAGGAAACCACAAGCATAAGAATTCAGCCGAATAACCGGTGACACCGACTGATCATCTAGTATGTTCTTCAGTTTCTTTGATTGAACTGCTGTATTGCCACGTTCATAGAAAAACTTCAATGGTTGTCACCCAGCTCCGGATCAGATAATCCAGAGGAAATGCGAGTGCCATCCAGGAAATTACACCGTTGGAAAAAAATTCGCAATTTGCACTAACAGCAGTGGAGAGGCCAGGTTGGCTCACGTGGTCCCAATTAGCTTGCAGGAAAAAGGACGATCGAAGACGAACAAGTATCCCAAAAGCTATCCCAGAATACGTCGTACATAAGTTGGTATTATTCATGATGCTCTCGATAAACTGGAAGAACTCTGACAACGCTGGCCTTCATCCAGTTTGACAGGTGTTAAAATCCAACGGGATGTGCATACCTGAATGGCTTCACACTTTCTGTGAGCGTCAAATTTCCCCCAGCTTCATCTCTAACTCACCTTACTCCATCTAACCCCCTTTATCTCCCTCCATTTGGTGGGATGCTTTTAGCCAAAAGTTACATGCTGCACTCGTCTCCGTATCTCAGTTACTGTACTCTGTTCACCAGCAAACGACTCCCGAATGCCCTTGTCTGTATGACAACGCTTACTATGCCTTACTGACAGTCTAGTATAGTTTTTTCAGGCTTCTGCAAAACGTCTTCAGCGCCTTATTCACACGCTGAAAAGAATAATACTACAAGTAACAGTTAGACCAAATCGTAACAGGCTGCTCGGACTTGGTAAATGTACTGTAGGTAGAGAGCTGGGTTGCACCAGTAGAAGTCGAGCTGTGATGTAATGTCACAACTCGCAGCTTGTGGTTCATACGACCACTTGTAGCATTTCAAACGGCTCATACGGTGGAGGTTCCTCCGAAACATCGTATGGGAACCAATCAAAAGCGCAACGTTCAACAAATGTAACCCCTTGCCTCAGTTGTCACAGAGGCACCCAGGTGTGGTTTCGACCACCCTACTTGATATCACAAAACCCGTTTTTGTAACCATACGCCACCGGGTTAACTGTCACGAGGTAGTGGACCGGCCAAAAAACACAGATCAGTAAACCCGGTCGCGTTAGTACCCGCTGTCCTATCGTAAAGGACGTACTTCTGAGTCGAACCAGCGAGCCAGCATGTGACATAGTTAATGGGTCCTCAGTCACTATCACTGAAAGAAGAATCAATACAAAAATCTGGAGAGATTGAATCCCTATGAACTGGTATGCTGTTAACGGCTTACATAGTGCTCCAAACTGTTGACATTAGACGGGCACCCGATACCTTAAACATATTAAATGAAATGGTAAAGTAAATTTCGTGGGGACTTGCGAACCGTAAAATAAACAACAGCCACACCTGCTTGTCGATAGGTAAGCCACTCCAGTTGAGTTACGTAAGAGGATTTCGTGCGCACAGGGAAGTCATCCGGCTTTTCCACAACAGAAGCCAACAGGCAATGCAAATCCACATCACCAGAAGAAGATACAATGCTTATGGAATCCAGGAGCTGCGCTGCGCAAGACTGGAGTGGTGGATGCACGTCCGATGAGAGCTAAGATGGAGTAAGAAAATAAGGCGAAACGTGTAGGGTTACGCACATCTAGGATGCCGGATAAGCAATAAATGAACTAAGTATTGAAAACGTTTATCATTTTTTCTCTACCACCTTCAAAGTGTTGCAAGAGATAGTGAATACATGCAATCCTGCTCTAAATTCTCGACGGCTTGTACACCTGTGAAGCCTAATGAGAAATGCTACGATGTACGATTATGGTACCCAGTTTCTTATCCCATGTTGGGAAATGGTCCCAAAAAAGCCCCCTAGTGTAACACTTACAGCAACTTGTTCGTTAAAATTCCACTCTATGATGGTATAATACTACATCAATCCTCCTGTCTTCGAAACCTACCGGGATCCTAGCCTTGGGAGGGGAAGCAATCGGATTAACAGTGGAGTTGCCGTCTACGGTGATGTAATTTATGGTTGTTATTCGACCAGGCGGTCCCCAAATGACCTTACTTTACAAAACATTAACGAAGACGTCATTGTACGCAGCATGGCTCGAGATATTACTCATTAAATAAACTAATCTGAAGGTGTATCATGCTCAGTTCATTGTGGGTATCCCAAACAAGTTATTGAAAAGAAATGATTATGGTGTACGGACCCTCCGGTACAAGAAATGCTTTCTTGGTGCTCCAACTGGAGAGCAATGGTGTGACAAATAACAGAACATCCAACACAAGAACTCCAACTTACTTTCCATTCGGGCAATGTACAACCCGTGCGTTTTGTTTCAAATATGAATAGGTGACCACAGCCATCATATAGGACGGCATGAGTTTCCGAAGGAAAGGTGAGAGTAGAAAACATTGAGCTTTTGCTGGTAACATCTGACCATTTTGGAATGGAGTACACCGAGGTTCCTTGGCAAAAATTGTGAGCACACTGTGGGATACGCAGATGCCTTATCTGGAAAGCGCTGAGTACAGTCTAACGAGACTTACACATCCATCAAGTTCTACGTAGTACAAATCACCCTGGACAAATGGATCAAGTGTAAGACAGTTCTGATGCGAGAAGGATTGTACATGCTGTTTGGACAGCGATTCAGGAAGTGATTTGAATGCGATTTTATTCGACGCAGAAAAATGAAATTGCGGGATTTTCTCTAAACTGAGCTTGTAGGATTCAAAATTTGGATCCAAAAGAGTGCGATCCGGCCGGAGTGTAACATTCATCTAGCAATGATAAGGTAAATAATCAGAGAGTTGGTTGAGAAATTGGGAGCACAAGTCTGAAGACTGATAATTATATGTTATAAAGGTATGTTTTTGAACACAAAGTTCTTGAAGATGCAGAAGAAAGCACCATAAAAGTGAACAAATTAAATGTTAATGGAAAACAATGTCAGGGTTTGTCGTACGTGTTTACTCCAACTGAAATAGCACGGTTTTTTTTCACTTGGGCTTCTAAATCTGTGCAAAGCACCACAGGAACCAAAAAACACGGTAAACAGACGGAAATTTAAGGTTGAAAATAATGCAATACATTACTGGGGAGAACTTGGACCTGCATCAAGTAATATTTGGATCACATCACAACTAATGATCCCACCAGTACTTCGGAATTTTCGGCTCCGCTCTGTCGGTTATGTAGTCCCTGTCTGCGGGTTCACGGTTTTAGTCTGAGACCTACTCGCTTCATCACTGTGAAGAAAAAATTACTGTAACGAGAACAGATTAGGTGGCATCAAGGAAACACTGATGACATATCCGTTCGTCTAGAGTGAACACAACCCCGTCAGGTACCCTTCAGCCCAAAACCCATGTGGTAAGGTTTCTTTCAGGATCCTGTCTGAAAGCAGTGATTCAGTCGTTCGGTCAGATTGTTCGGAGTAAAACCAGTTCGAACATATACAAAACAAGATAGAGATGACCGGTTCCACGAGCTACTGTAAAGACTACATGCGTTTGAATCTACCTGTCCAAGACAGCTGTGACCACACACCTATCAGCTGATTTCAGGCCTAGCCACTTCACCATCAGCAATCATAGACAGCAATATCAGGACCATACAGACATTAAAAAATAAACATCAGCGAACACAGATAAACCGTATTGCAGTCTCGAAGGCGTGGTGCCATTCAGCCCTTATTACAACACTATTATTGATTGCACGGAATGTTGCGAGAAATAAGTACATCTGTGGCCAGCAGCCACCTCAACCAGGGCGCAACGGCATAGCGATCGAAAGGTTTCGGACCGAAGTTGCCACTAGTTCAGCATCAATAATTTATGAAGGCGCCGATTAGTTGTTCATCCACCAAACTTGCCCAACATCGCGTTGAAACCAATGATTGTGGAACAATCAGCTACCGACGGGCAACACATCGGATCTGTAGAGCCAGTCCATAATAGCAAGTGATAAAAGCTGGTATCCTCCGCATTCCAACAGCTGGAAAGCAGTTGTTTGTGAACCAAACCCAGGGGCTTCTCCGCCTTTTCATTAGCACGTGAAGTTCTGTATCCGTCCGCAGAGGATGGTGGCGAGGCTCTCCAAGATTGTTCACTGGTACAGTAACGACACCTTGAAGTCTGTCAAAACAAAGCCTCCACGTCCGCTTAAGGTTGGCATCTTGTAAGTAAATGAAAAACGAATCGTTCAGTTGTAATGCCCTTCCGGTGCCTAGCTGCCATGCCACCCGAAGGAAGCACCAGGGCTGAGATACTGCCAGGGGAAGCAGAGAGGCAGAGGTAAGGTTCGAACCACGGTATATTGTCACCATTATCAATGAAAGCAACATATCAATACCATGTAATGGCAATTAGCTGACACGCAGCTATCTGTCTTAAAAGTAGAAAGAAGGCAGAAGGATAGAAAATACAACAAAGAAGCCCTACGCACTTAAGGAAAACAGCTTCGAACAGCACTAAAATGGACGCATTTGAGGACCACGTAGAATTGGGGCATCATAGTGGGATTAATCTCACTCGGCATAAGCCCAACATACAGCGACAGTCGACCTTTAGCCGGCCAATCCAGTCAGGAAATTGCAGCATGTGCACCACCGGAATCAGCTGCATGCCACTCCCTGCATGGTTTCCAACCATGTGCAAGCTGGATCCCGTGGGCCCCATCATGAGAAGGTGCATAAGATAACACAGTATTCAGCTCAACCGTAACGCTCTTTACTCTGAAGTTTCAGACAGGGGTATGGTGATCGGAAAGCTCGGAGTAAGACATTACACTTCGAAGGTGCAAACAGATGCCGATACATGGGACCACTTCCGGTAGGCAGTTTAAAGCAATTCGCGCGGACAAATAATAAAAAATAAAGCAATATTACCGCATAACCCATTTCCAGTAATCTCTCCAAACGGTCATTCAGATGCCCAGATTAATGGTCCTTTGTCGATGACAGAGCTTAACATGAGAGGGAATGTCCCACTAGTCGTCAGGTATAGTTGTTGTACACCCTGATCCGAAGTATGAAGAAAGTTTACGAAATTCAAGAGCAGTCCCGTGTCCATGAATACTCAGGAGGGCTGGTCTATCCACAGAATCGAAGGCTTTGTTTGTCGAGAGAAGAGCTACTGTTAGTCGGCGGTATGAGTCGCACCTAACGTCAGGCAAGGATATGATCAACGCACCCTCTTCCAGGTTGAAATCTTGCTTGATGCTCCCAGACTTACGTCTCAGATGTCAAAAACAGGCACCGCAAAGTAAGGAAAGTCAGTAGTCATGGTACGACAGATGAGACGCTTCTGCATCGGTTCGAGTCTAGTTTTCAAGACAGGTACGAACAACGATCAATCCTAATCCTCTGGGGCGAACAACCTAGTCAACGCGAGACACGAAGACCCCGCCATCTTTGAACGACGCTGAAGAGAGCCCACATGGCCGGGCAGTCCGATGCTACATCAGAGCAGAAATGTATATTGATGCGTCATCAACTGAAAGCAGATTTTAACACACAGACTAGGGCTCAAAACGAGCGGGTCGATAGAAAGAGAGGCACCGATATAAGAAGCCCACCAAACTGTCGTTGAATTATTCTGCACAGCAATCTGGACGCTAGTCTTTGAGTTTCCGATATTATCTTTGATTAACTCATTTACGAAAGGTACTTTAGGTTCCGTTTTGCGAATTCACTGGGACAGATTCCGTACACGCTATGTCGCACTGGTCACCACCAGAGTTCTTAAAATTCGCCACTCTGTCCATACGCAAGCCACTTTTGGGCTGTCACCTAATCAACGTTCTAGTGGACCTTTACTCTAGGTCTGAGGGTACCGAACGCCTCGCATCAAGAACTGATAGCGACCATCGCGAGTTACAGTGACGTACGCTGAGAACCTCATGAGCAGTTCCCGGAGTTAAGTATAGCCAGGAACATCCCGTAAACCCCAGCTGCGATCTATGGTCTACCCGGAGGCCGCATGCAATGCACTATATTTTAGGCTTTGGTTTGTTTCCCTCAATTGGCAAGCAAAACATTTCTACTGCTAAATGAGGAGCTCGTTTCCTCAGTCTACTGAGAAAATTTATAAAAAAAAACCAGCATCAAACTAGCGTAGATACCGACCAACCTGTGTATATCTAAAAATGATCGGCAATCAAGGAGTGGACCACACCCCCATTAGATGATGGTGATGTGGTTCATTTGATTCCAAGTCTGTTCAGCAGAAGGGAGTCACCAGGTAACACACCACTGTGTCTAAACCCAGTACTACTGAGAAGCAACTGATACGCAACACAATGTTGGAAAAGATGTTCACCACTATCATTGCATTTTGGCGTCCGGACTAAACCTACTACCAAAACGAGCTTCTGGTGAACTCAGACGTTTTATCTGTGTACTAAAATTTCTTACTCTTATGACAATATCGGTCACAAAGAGTTTGGACCTTAGCATGATGTGACGGTTTGCGTACCTTCGCGTCCAAATGGGCTATACTGGGTGTCCGCGCGACACCCAGTCTCTCAAACCAGACTGATCAAGCGTTAGATGGCTGAAGAACAGTTGCCTGATTGGTCATTGGAATATGTGTGGCGACTTGTTCCGTAAAAGTTGAAATGCACTTGCACACCCGTCAAACACCGCTGTGGTCGGGCATGTGAGCCAAAGGCTTTAGTTGAAGACCCTAATTGTCATACTGTCTGGCTGTGGGGGGTGCTCTGTGAGTATCCCAAAGAATCATCCAGCTGTAGCAACCTTTCGGTGCCTAACTGTTATGCCACCAGAAGGAAGCACGGGGGCTGGGATACTGCCAGTTGCCCAAGTCTAGACAGAAGAAGTCGAAAGGTAGACGTCTAGTTCGAACCATGGACGGCAGTGAAGCATCGGTGTTGGACACTGATGTCATGCTGTCGATGATGATGATGGACCTTCCGGTCAGTAAATTCGCGCTCTAACCATTGAGCCATCTCGGTGAACAGAGCAACGACCAACTGATCAACCACCAAAAAACATTCATCGTTCATATGGGGCAGACCACCGATTCAAATTTTTAAGCCGGAGTGCTTTAACCAAACTACCATTTCGGCTCGGGCACCCTGGAAATAATATCAGCCCACACACTTTAATCACAGTGGCTAGTCGCCTTAGTCTTCCAGCTACAACTGCAGTTACTGAGGATGCCCATAAAACCCCATCTGATTGTAACACTGTAATTTCAGCGTACTGTAACCTTAGCCCTCTAATGAGAAAAGTAAGAATTAACTGTTCACTAATAACCACAAGGAGTCTAGTCAACGTAACAGTGTTTAATGTCTGTAATCTTAGACAGATAAGTCAACAAAATCCCCATTCTGTTTTGAAAATCGATGTGTTTTGTTTCCGAAGTATACAAGACCCCATCACGGCCTTACATCTAAGCACGGTCCAAGACAGTTGCTTATTTACGATTCACTCTCCGATGGCCAAGAGGCGGCTCCCCACGTCCTCAACGGTGTGAACATTGAACTAAATGCGACAGCCATGCAACCCAGAGGATGCACGAGGGTTTATATACCGCTAGCTTACTGGAGCCTATACAATAGCAGTCGAGATGCAGGGATTGGATTCGAGTTACAGGTCTTCGGTCAATTAGTTCGCACCCTGACCACTGAGCTGTCTCGAGCACAATCAGGCCTAGTAAAACACTTAAGCTATACTGACTATAACAATTATTAGAACGATGGCAGAATAGCCACTTGGGACAGTCGTACGTAGCCAGATCATACCGTAGTTTGTGCCGAGATTGCAACCCGCTTTTTCAAAGGCTAAGGTGACCGCTAAGGTATTCAGTACCTGCAAGATTCGGTCGTTAAATAAGCCTATCAGCGGCAGCTGTCTAAGCAACTTGCGAACACGGAACATACTGGTGGGCAATCATGTGGATTCGGCGTTTGACTGTGTGCACCTCAAAAGGGGGTCACGGCCCAGTTCATGTTGAACCTTACAGCGGTTCATGTTCTTAAGGAGGTCCTACCGGGAGGGTACCCTGATTCAGCAGTTTCCATGAGAAGGCGGTTGAGTTGCTGTCGCAAGGCTGATCGGAACAAAGTGGGGAAGAGGAAAACCCAAGAAATGAAGACATCAATGTCCACGACACCAGTGCACTTGGATTCAACATGTCGTTGCACCTACCAGATACCGCGCAGGCCAACTACCACCCCTCCTGCATTTGGTCATCGCCAACGAAAGACACTTCATCGAACAGATGATAAGGCTTCAGTGGGACATAGTGATCACTATGTGCTGACCTTTGATTTCATCCGCTACTGGGTCAGAAATCCCGGAACTCAAACCTGGATTCGAAACGCCTGCCATTCGGACTTCTCAGGAATGCGCATCTTTCTTGGACAAGTTAAATTGAAGCCAGCTTAAGTGGATGATCTATATGGGACCATTGTCCAGAAAGTTCATGAGGCTGACGCAATGGTCGTCCCAAAAAAGGACCGGCACGTAGTCGAATGGGCCGCAAGCTACCTGAAAGGATTCGGTGTCTTCTGGAAGAGGTCTCAACTATTTTTCAAAAAGTTGACTAGAGGAGACACAGATGAGGTGATATTTCGTAGACCTGAACATCAGAAATCCGCCAATGGAACGTACAAAAACAAGCCACCACTCTAGATCTCGCCCGGAAAAAAAGAAATGTGATGTTTAAATATATGAGACGTCGCCACAGAAATAAGCCATCCGTTCTCCTTAAGAGACAGGAATGAGGAATCCACAAATGAACCAGTAGTAGGATCTGAGATCTATAGAGAAAAGGCCTATATTCAGCCCCAACGTCCTTGTCACATCCGATTTTGTAAAGGCGTAACTACGGATGGCCTCCAACCGACTTGGTCTTCACAGTGGAGGACATCCGTCAACTCTTGCACAGGATCAACCCGTTCTGCGAGTTGAGGACCGACGAGGTCCATTCAATGATCCTGAAGGAAACGTCATTTACACTGGCAAAACATTTTCCCTGGTGTTTCGTCAGTCGCTTGACGAAGACCATTTTCTCTATGCTTGGAAGAAGGCAATTGACACGCCAATCTACAAAGCGGTTGACCGACTATCGCCCGGCAGCTACAGGCCTATTGACCTGAGCAGCGCGCCGTGCAAGGCGATGGAACGAATTCTGAATGGAGCCACCTTAGATCACCATACCTCCAACAACTTGATATCTCCAGTTTAACACGGAATTCTCCCAAGCCGTTCTTGCGTGACGTACATTCTCGTATTTATGCATTCTCGTTTTTATGGACAGCTTAACCCAAGCCAAGGACGACGGACTCATACCGGATGCCAAATTTTTCGATTTCTCAAAAGCATCCGATCGAGTCCCACACGTCCCGTTGCTCAACAAACTCAAACTCAACAACTCAACAAACTCTTTCGGGATTCAAGAGAAAATACTACAATGGATTAGAGTGTTTCTATCAGATGGATCATTCCGATTGAAGGTAGGCTCGACCTACTCTTCTCCGGTGCCGCTCTTCATGAGACTTCTTCAAGGCTGTTTTTGGACCACTGCTACTTCTAATATACGTCAACGACCTTCCATATGTTCTTGTAAGCCCATATCCACTTTTAGCAGACGACCTGAAATCTTGGAGTACCAATGCCAGCGCCCTCCAAATAAATGTGCACGCTGCCAACAGTGATCGTTGGACTAGAACCTTTCTCTGAATGACGAAAAGTGCGTCCATATGTCCGTCATTTGGAGGAAACCCAGCGAGCTCCCATGTGGTTGGAATGGACCAGGAGACATCACGAGGATGGATGCCAAAAAGGATTTGGGTATTGTTAGGACCGTCAGGTCCTAACGAACAATGCTACCCTTTAATATTTCACTGAGATTTCATTTTCTCTCTGTTGTAGCCAACTGAGCCGCAGCGCTCTTTCTTCCATTGGTTCGTCTGCAATATAGCCGATCTTCATCTGGGTTCCTTTGTCTTCTTTCTTGAGGTTTTCCAACTCAAGTAACTTGACTATCAACGTGACAGAATAAAGTGCATCAAGCTTCTAAATCACTCAGCTAGCACCCACGACACTACAAGCATATGGCTCTCTTCAAACATGTCCTTCCCACTGCACCATGAGGAATCGGCCCAAATGGCGTTCGCTGTTCTACGGATGATTTGGCGCACCTTCTCCCGTATTGCTCGCACGGACTTCCAAATACTTTATGGGGCCTACGTCAGACCGATTCTTGAATATGCCAACCAAATTGTCCGCTCAGGACGCACGCAGGACGTAGCCCTCATTGAGCGTATCTGGTGAACTACTGCAAAAATGGTTGCCAGCCTTAAATCCGTGGACTATGAAACGCGTCTCATGGTGCTTGACCTCTTTCCCCCGGAGTATCGTTGCCTCCAAGGAGACCTAATTCATACTTATGCCCTGTTTGAAAAGGTTTGGCCAACAGGCTTTTCACCGTTGATCCAGCAAACATTGGGCGGGGACATGGTAAAAATTTTAATCTCAGAGCATACACTTTCATTAGACAAATATTTTTCTTATTGCGAGTATTTGCTGTGTGGAATGACTTTTCTCCGACGGTTGTCCAAGCTTCACCTGGAACCCAGGTCAAAACACTATTAAACACTTTTTATGTGAAACCTAGTGCTGGGAAGCTTACTGCCCCGCTCTGAGAACTTAAAGAGCAGTGCTACACCCAATTTGCGCCTTCTAGGTGAACGGTAGCCACTGAACAAGAACAAAACCGACCCGAGAAACCCAGTCGAATACGTCGAAGCTGTGTATTCACACGTGAATCCGTAAATCGGTCTGCCAGATACTGAAGAGAGTCCAGCCAATCAATCAACGCCGACGGAGCAACCCTGATTCAGGGTCAATGGGCACTCTGAATACCTCGATGTTCCTAAGGTGCTCCGTTCTCATCGGTAGCTCTTGCCCTGTGACCAAGGCTCTTGTGTCAGAGTTTGTAGTCAGGTACAACAGAATCTATCGGACCATTCAGTTCATTCGTTTATGCGATTTGTCTGGATTAGTTTCCCGGTAGCCTCGCACATACACGTGCAGGCGAAGAATACACCCCGATAAGTCTTATTCATTGCCCACGCCACCGTAACATTAGTAATACCCAATGTGAGAGTAATAAAATAATAAGCGTTCAGCTGTAGCACCCTTCCGGTGCCTAGGTACCATGCCACCCGCAGGAAGCATGAGGGCTGGGATACTACCAGGTTGCCCAGGCCTAAACAGGGGAAGAAGAGGCAGAGGTGGGGTTCGAACCATGGACCTTCCGGTTAGTAAATTCGCGCTTTAACCACTTCGGCCATCTCGCCGAGACTTAATTACAGCGCACGTTCATTTCTCAAGAATACGTGCCTTCTTTGACCAGATTTAACAGGGAGAAAATTCGGCGGAACAAGCTTACAAGGCATTTATCTGAAAAATTTGAGTATCCACATGTTCCGAGTTCTCAACCGTACTTGGTTGAATCCCAACACCCCGCAAACTCGACATCTTTGGAATTAAAACGGGCAGTTATACGCTGAATAGGTGTTTATCTTTCAAGTAAGTCATTACGAGTGAAATTTTGGCCACTGCACTGATATCCATTGAAGTCCCTAGAAGTTCCGTTCTAGGATTTTCTTTATATGAACTACGTCAACCATGGATACACACTATTTGCTTTCAAGTCTATGTTTATTTCTTATCGTGCGAAGTTCCAAAAACAGTGCACTTCAGACAGATATTCAGGCCTCAAAATAGTGGTCACCGATTACCACAAGGTGACGCAAATCCGTCCGCATTTCGACGGAAGGAAATTCGACAAAGGCCTTCCAACATGATGAGAAGGGACTGGGACATATGAAGAAGCTAAATAACAAAAAGAATTCAAGTATCTATCCGTAGGCCAGCAGAATCAGCGTCTTGCGGTCTGGACCGGGCTGCTAGTGCATCAAGCCCATAGAAACCTTCAAGTGGGACGTACAGAAGCCATTATGCGGCTACAACTGGTCAGTTCCCACTTGTTTCATTTGCAGCCCGGGTGCCCACAACATGCATACGGTGACCAGTGCGTTATGAACGACCGTACGGTCGGAAGTATGTTTGAAAGTTCTATCTTCCTTCTGCTAGACTGCGAGGTTTGTTCGCGAAGTACGGCGATGTAATTTAGAGACATTCAACATATCCGTGTGACACAGGTGGCTCCCAAATGTGAACTGAAGTAACCCCCCATTGGAGTCGTGTAACAAAAGGCCTACCACAGAGAGAAACTTACAGTTTGAACGGACGTGATACCAACCAAACGAAGCAATGCTCTGATTGGTCAGAATTCTAGCCAATCAGGATCGAACATCCTTGGCTTGACGCAACTCGCTCCCTCACGTGGGTTTCAACACGACATTGTGGAACGCTCTGCAATCACCCTATAAATACAGTTGTAATAGTTTCCCTTTGTCTCCAAAAAACGGCTGTCTGGAGCTACCATGCCTTGTGACCTACCATAATGGGTGGACCAGTAAGCCGAGGGGCTGATGCAGTGGCAAGATCATTCAGCAAGTCAAAACAGCTGGCGACAACTCGAACCCACGATGTCAATTTCGGCAGAGTAAATCCAAATAATTTTACGGCAACAACAGAAGAAGCTCGAAGAAGTTCAAGTGAGGCTTGTTGAATCTCTGACGCGCAGTACGTCGGTGAATGCGACAAAAACAGTTGAGCCTCCGTCCACTTCCACAAATACCGCTACCAGCCCCATCACTGAATTCACTTTCGATGCTGAATCTGGACGAACTTTCGAAAGTTGGTTCAAGAAATATGACGACGTGTTTCAAACCGACTTTGCTCAGTTTGATGGTGCGTGGAAGGTTCGACCGTTGCTGCGGAAACGGGGGACAACTGAACATGATCGGTTCACAAACTTCATACTCCCCAAACTCCCTCGCGACCTTGGTTTCGCAGATTTTGTCAAAATCTTGGCCAAAATCTTCGGAAAGTAAAGTTCCTTGTTCAATACTCGTTATAACTATCTTAAGATTACCAAAAGGGATACTGAAATTTTCATCGCTTACGCCGGCGTGGTTCAACAGAGAATGCAAGCGATTTCACCCCTGCACCATGACCAAGAATCAATTCAAGTGTCTCATTTCCGTGGCTGATCTTCAATCGCCACATGATGCAAATGTTCGTACCCGGCTACTGAGTCGAAATGAACGGGATCCACAGTCGACGCTTCAGAAACTTACCACCGAGCGCCAGCATCTTATCAATCTCAAGGCTGATGCTGCAATGATCGGACATCCCAGATTCTCTAAGCCTGATATGGTATGCCAAAAGGCAATCAAATTCTAAACGAACTCCAAGAAACCTACCCACAGCCTGTTGTTCTTGCGCCGAATGGCGCTATTCGCGCCACTGTCCTTAGCGAAATCACAGGTGCAACAAGTGCAGTCGGAAGTGTCACGAAGAAGGATGTTGCAGGGACAACTTCAGGAGCTCGCGCAACCATCGACCCGACAAAAGGATGCACCATGTAGCCATGACCGCTATCTTCAGGATAAAATCACCCGGTCGACGTTAATTCATCACACTATGTGTCAATAGCACGCCGGTTACCCTCCAACAGGTTCTGACATCACTCTGAGTTCGAAACAAACCTGGGACGTAATTGGAGACCCACTAGTGGAACACACAAAGTGTATTGTTTTTAATGCATCTGGTGGAAGCTTCAAATTGACCTGGAAACTGAAGTGTTCCGTAACGTTCAAGAAGATTCAACTCAACGGACCTGATGCCTCACGAATCATACAGGCCTTGATCTCTTGAGCCTGGATTAGACTAATGAGCTTCAACCCTTGGATCAACCCCTTAATGCCGTTTGTGACGAAACAACTGCAAACGGCTCTGACAGGTTCACGAGAACACCACTCCGTGACGACTTTGTGTTCGCCACATTTGCCGCCGAAACGGAGTACAGAGGGAGCATGAGCCACGCAGCTGTTTTTCAGCTTCTGGTGCCCAGCGCCGGTAGCCCTCTCACTTCAGTCCAGTTCGGTGAATCCCGCCAGAAATCTACAGCGTTTTACTCGCCGTCCGAACCCTTCAGTTTGCAGACGAAGTTTCGTGCTATCCGAAAATTTAAGGAAGGGGGCCGGCGGAATGTAGGCCGCAACATTCACACAGAGGCCAGATACTGATTCGCGTATATGAGGAATGCTCTCCATAGTGTACACAAGGTCAAGATATCAGACATGAGGCACAAATAAGATAATAAGCACGGCCACATCAAGGGAGCAGACTTCAGACAACATAATGCGGCTCCGTAATTTGACCACGTCGCATGGGACACCGGGCAGCCGTCACATACCTCTGAATTCGAGGATACCAGATTACAGACCGACATGTTCGCAGCCCTAGGGACGGATCGAAGTATGACAACACCTCTGTGAGTCGGCACAGATGAGCCGAAATCAGCGGGTAGCTGAACAGCTTCTTCAACATATTTGAAACCAAAATTTCAAAGTCAGGTTCTGTAGAAACGTTTTTTTGTTATAGCACACCCATAGTTCTTTAACCATTTTTATACTAGGTAACTATTTTTTCACCAGGGATCCCTAATTATCAGCGGTCACAGAGTTAAACAAGTCTTCCTTCTCCAATAGGCTTAATGGGCCTCAGTCCTCAACGCGTTTAACCTTCTCCTGCATAATCCTCTCTGACGACGTGCCGCCATTTGCCCACCAATTCAGTTATTCCTGAATATCACCTTTTCCACCAACTGATTTTTCGTTCCTGACCGGAAACGCCACTCATCGCAAAGTTTACACTATTATTTCTCAACCTACTTTAAGTATTTCATTGTGGCATTGCTCCCGTCTTCCTCCTCTAAGCGGTTGCCAGACCCCGAATCCCCATCTCCACAGTATATCCAAAGAAGCAGCTCGCAGCCAGAAGACCCAGCTCCCAACCCCCACATTCATCGAGGCCGGCAAAAACTATGACACAGACAACCACAGATTGTTCAGTTGTCCTAACCGACATATCTTTGCTTCCGCAACCTGGCAGCACTCTCCCCTCACAACTACCAGTAGAATCTCAGGTCCTGAAAGACCTGAAAAATCTCAGAATCCGTCTACACAACATGGAAAGTTAAATGTCTTCCTTGCGAACCATACAATCGATTGCATGTCTCTTAAATCCTGATGCAACATGTGATCCTACAAACACGATTGCGTCGGAGATTTGTCAACGCATCGAATGTTGGCACCAGGTCCTAGTATTCAGCGCACCTGATCGGACGCCGCTTGAGCACACCAAAACTGCCATCTTGACAACATGTGACATGCTGGATACCATGTGCACAGCTCGGCGGCTCCGAAAGTCGAAACCATACATGTGCTGCCCGATAATAATGCAATTCCGAGATGAAAAAGATGCTGTGCGTCCGCTAACAGCCCGGACTCTTCTCTCATCTACCAAAAAATTCCATACCTTGAAACATCAAGATGCTCGTTAATCAGGTTTCTCCTAGCTACAAACGCCATAGATGACCGACAGTGCGGATTCCCGTCTCAAAGATCCGTAAATGGCTGCCAGTTTCACTTCTTTGAGACCGTCACAACACCTACTTATCAGACAGGAGGCAAATAACGCAAATCAGGGACATACAATCATCTCCCGTACCGATCACTGGCGGAGTTATCCAAGGAAGCGTGCTAGACCCCATCCTTTTCTTACTGTACATCAATGACATCTTATCTTCGGCGCCATATCCTATGGTAAGGCTTTCCTCTTCGCGGACGATATAAAAATCGCGCACACATTCCCCCCTCTGAATAAACCCTTGCTTTTCGCCAGATTAAGCAAGACTAAAATTCACTAACTCGCCGGTCAAACGAATCTGGCGTAAGCTTCTCCTCTACAAAATCCTGTATAACTTCCTGCCGCTGCTCTCTCCCGACTGACGCCTTCACAATTAGCGGAAATCCTATCGCCTATTCCATGGAGATCAAAGATCTCGGCCTCCGATATTCCTGTATTTTACCTTTTCCGACCAGGTAGAGTTCCAGGTTGCAGGAGTACGCAGGCTCAGCTCCTTAATCCTGCGCTCCTGCCACCTTCCAGACACTGTGGTAGCAATCTTTATGCTATGCGTACGACCGATCGTCGAATTCTGTCCAGCATCCTCCTCCCTTTACACCCAAAGTTCCAGACTCGCAATTGAAAGTGTCCAACAATCATTTATGAACAAGCTCTCTCCTCTCTTGCCGCTCTCGCTATCAAATCCTAGGCCTCGAACCAATGTGGCTTAAACGGTAAAAATTGAATCTAGCTCTCTTACACCGTCTGCTGCATAAGAACGCTTTTATAGCAAAGGCTGAACCAAGTATAAACTCACAACCTCGCTATAGACTCCGTAACTCCTGCAACCACTTAGTGTGTCCTCCAGCTCGTACAAACCTACGCCACTACTTCTTTCTAGTTTATTACGCTCGCATCTGAAACATCCTTCCTGAACAACTGCGAAGCACCACGCATCGCCTAACTTTTTCTCAGTCTGTAGACAAATTCCTTACCTATGAAACTGCTGCCGCCCTACTTAATACTCGAACTCCCTCTGACCTTCTCTACAAATCAGGTCCAATGCGAACATGAGTTTAGCGACGTTACAGTTAGTGGTCAAGTAAAGGACTCTGCTATCAACTCATCCTATCCTCTTGACTCGCTTTAAGATAATGAAGAAATTAAATGCCAACTTGATCAAAACATGCTGCGTTACTGCCTGGTTGTTATTCTTTTCTTTTTTCCTATTTCCCCTTGCTTCCTTACACCTCGTACAAGTCTAGTCCTTACATCGAATTACTCGATTAACTTTTTAGCGTCTATTGTTTTCGGAAAAACCCTACTGGCAGAAACCAAAACAAAATTAGCTCTTTTCTTCCTCAAATAACTGAGTGAGTTAATCACCTACTAACTCTAATTAGACAGTGTCAATGGTCTGGTTGATTTCTATTTCCCCAGTGAGCTTATGCCTCGTCATGGTCCAGTCCCTTCCCCGGATTACTCTGATCAGCTCTGTCTAGTAACTGGTGGCCACAGCCTGTCTCTAACTGATAAAGCCCAAACCAAAGTCGTTTTTTTACTTCATCTCATTATCAGAGCGCATTCTGCGCTCATATATATATCCAATTGATGATTAGCCCCACGAACCACTCCCACACACAACATCGCGGAACGTTTCTGCTCGACCTGGCAGCCCACACCAACGCCCCGAGGCCGTATAGCCATGGTGCAATCGCCACGAGTATCAAAATTCCAGTCCCACCGTCTCATTGACAACTGCCATTTCACTGCTTCTCCGCGGCTTGCCTCTAGCAGCTTCTGTATGCTGTCTGCCTGTTCGAATTTGCTGAGCTGTCCTCACTGCCCTTACTTTCCCTCGGCCAAAAAATAGTAGCTGGAGTACTTATTAATGCACAAACCGCACTTATGACTGCCTCGATGGTTTTCCACCTAGCAGATCTGGTAGCATGCACGAGGGAAGAAAACCTCGTGTGGTGGACGGATACGCCCTGCAGGGAGGTTCGCCCTGTTACGTTGCACCATGGTGCATTCGTATACCCGCCACCCCTCCAGTAGCACGGATGCATCGGCCATCGCCGGTGGTTCTGGAGCTGGCCTTTAAATTCAGGAAATCAAAAAAGTATGTTGACTTCTGTTTGTTGCTGGTGTTGGGCTCGCCTTGGTTGAGTTATGCATCTGGCAATGCCATAAACCACAGATGAATAAACTGGCCTCCTATCTGTAAAAAAAACAATAAAAGAAGTTCACTTGGGATAGCCCAAAGAAACTCTGCAAGTGCCCATGGCCTACATCGGCGAGCATACCTGTATCTGCCTTCACCACAACAGATGCTACACCGCACCAAAGCCCATTTCGTCATCCAAACAGAGAATACGTCTACACACCGCTCCCAGCGATAGACACTGTCTAGTGGTAGATACTTGCTATGCACCATCTACAGATTAGAGCTGATAGCACTGCTTCGGGGACTAGTGACTATTTCTCTTGCACACACTTTCTCTCCTGGTATAACCCAACTCATGTAATAAACGCCAGATCAGCCAGCTACTTTGGAAGTCCAATTCTGCCAGCCTGCATGCATCTGATTCCCATACCACACCTCTACGCGCTTTTATCGGCTTTTACTAGACCCCTTGCAATGTAATATTGTATGTTAGCAAACTCAACCCTTGATCGCTGGCCTGCTAAGTACAAATCTTTCTATTTCCTACTCCATATAATCACTTGCCATCACCCTAATTGCAGCAGGCGTCAAGTTTTTTCCCCCGTGCTTATTAATGCATATTACCCCATTTTATATCCCCACAAATTCACCATGTTTTGCGAATCTCCTCCCATCCCATCATCTTCCCAAGCTTTGACCATTAGAAGTACCCGTTTTGGACGACCTGGTTAGCTGATACCCACTC